TTTTTTTTTTTTTTAAGTTTATTCAAACAGGCTCCGCGGTGTCAGCACAGAGCCCGATGCAGGGCTCGATCCCACGAACCATGAGATGATGACCTGAGCTGAAATCAAGAATCAGACTCTGAACTGACCGAGCCACCCAGGCACCCTGAGCATTTTGCTTCTTAAAGTTAGAATGCTGGTTTTAATTCGAAGAGTATGGAAGACTTAAAAAATTTTTTCTTAACGCTTATTTATTTTTGAGACAGAGAGAGACAAAGCATGAGTGGGGGAGGGTCAGAGAGAGGGAGACACAGAATCTGAAACAGGCGCCAGGCTCTGAGCTGTCAGCACAGAGCCCGATGCGGGGCTCGAACTCATGGACCGTGAGATCATGACCTGAGCCGAAGTCGGCCGCTTAACCGACTGAGCCACCCAGGCGCCCCAGAATATGGAAGCATTTAAAGTAAGCCATTAGCGGGACTCCCATGGCATATTAACAACGATAATAGTAACGTCAGGGTCCAGGGGTGACATGTGTAATACAAAGAAGGTGTTTTTTAAAAATGTTTATTTATTTTTGAGAGAGAGAGAGAGAGAGAGAGAGAGAGAGAGTCCCAAGCAGGCTCCACGCTGTCCGACGTGGGGCTCCAACCCATGAACCATGAGATCATGACCTGAGCCGAAGTCAAGAGTTAGACGATTAGTGGACTGAACCACCCAGGCGCCCCCGTGTCCTGCAAAGAAGTTTCGAGTGGGAATCAAGACTCCTGAGTTCTACCCCCTCTCTGTCACCCATGTGCCCTGTGACCTCAGCTAATTCCTTCCCCAATCTGGCTTCAGCTTCTTGCCTAGAAAATGGGGGGATTGGAGTAGAAATGGTTTCTAATGGTCGGCCACACCCCCAACCAACAGCTTCAAACTCTGCGGGTCCGGCAGGGCATCCCAATTTCTTAAACACTCCCCAGGGGATTCGAACGTGTAGCCGAGGTTGAGAACCACTGTCCTTTTCTGGGGTTCTGAGTCAGTAGTTTCTGCGAAGAGGGGTACCCAGGCCATTGCCGCTGCTCGGGGGAACACACTTTGAGAACCTCTGCCTCCCCTGTTAGGTCACTGTTTCCCTGCTATGACAACCCTACAAGTTCGTGGGTGTCACACGACCGGATTCTTGGGTGAGTACAGGTTTTTCTTTTTTTTTTTTCTTTTAAAAATTTTTTAATGTTTATTTTTTTCTCACTTCTGTAGTTGCCTTTTGTTTCGTTTTGTTTTTACTTATAAGTCAAGTTTATTTTTTAATATGAAATTTATTGTCAAATTGGTTTTTTTTTTTTTAATGTTTATTTTTGAGAGACAGAGAAAGAGAGAGTAGAGAGGGGCTGCGGTATGTGGAATAGAGTCCTCCAACGTTCGTGTCCACCCAGAACCCCGGTTAAGGTGAGCCCATCCTGGATTCAGGGTTGGCCCTGAATTCGGTGATCAGTGTCCTGATAGGAGAAGAGACACAGATACACAGGGAAGAAGACCACGTGATGACAGGGCACATGACGATGATGTGGCTCTGAACTGAAGGGTTCTCGGGATCGTGGCCAATACCAGATGCCGGCAGAGGCAGGGGACAATCCTCTCCCAGAGGAGCACGGTCCTGCCCACACCTTGATTTCAGATTTCCGGCCTCCGGAACGTCAAGAGAACACATTCTGTTGTTTTAAGCCACACGGTTTGGGACGGGGCCTGAGTCCATCTCTGTGATTGGCTGTGGCCAGCACACTGGCTTCTGATGGCCCCAGTGTTCCCAGGCTCATGGCTGCATCACTCTGTTGGGTCTGTACTTCTGTCTCCACTGGCCTCTCTTGTCTGGGTTTCTCTTGCCCCAGTATCCCTCTCTTTTCTTTTTTTTTAATTTCTTTATTTTGAGAATAAATACAGAGAAGAGAAGGAGAGAGAGAGTCCCAAGCAGGCTCCACACTCCCAGCAGGGATCCCCACACAGGGCTCGAACTCATAAACCGTGAGATCATGACCCAAGGCAAAACCAAGAGTCCAATGCTTAAACAACTGAGCTACCCAGGCGCCCTTCTACTTAGCTTCACACATATAACTTTACATGACTAGGCAAATGTTATCACATGGATGGTGATCTTTTATGGTCTTTGTAATCTGGATCCACCTCCCATCCCCCCCACAAACCCCATCTCCCTACATAACCAGGTTAACTTCCTGCATCTTGTATTTATTGAGTACTTACTGTATGCCAGGAGCTGTTAGAAGCCCTTTACATCTTGCAAAGCAGATATTATCATCTCCATTTTACAGATGAGGACACTGAGGCCCAGAGAGGTCACAAAACCCAGCCACGAAGCCAGGATCTGGCTGTTCTCCTGCCCTTGAGTCCCTCTTTAGCCCCACACTGCCTTCACATTTTCGCTTTGTTCAGTAAAGCCTAATATGGACACATACAGAGATACAGAGGTTATTTAGGGTATAGTCTTTTTTGACCAGAAAAGGAGACCATACTGCATACATACAACTTCTCTGGCCTCTCGCCGTGTTTACTAAAAAGGACCCCGTGGAAACTATCCGTGCTGCATGGAGCCCATGGGCGGCTACACCCTCCAATCAATGGGCAGCCCCAGGCGGATGGACGGTCTGCCCCGCAGGTCAGCCGTCCTGACGCTCCAAACCTGAAGCCAGAGCCAACCTGCAGTGAGCTGAAATCCTTACTCTTTCCTGGGGCCCACTGATTGTGCACAGCAGTAATTGTGTCACCTGACGTGTTTATTTCCGCTTTCGCTTGTTACACGTAACTGATCAAATTATACCACCAGGTATCGCGTGCTCAAAATGTTTCCACACGTCTTCATTTTTTTAATGCACCAGGAGACGTTTTTTAAAAGTGAAGTGATCCCGACTTTTCTGGTGGGCTACGAGGGAGCCTGGAGAGTCACCTGAGCCTCCGTGTCCAGGGTTTTTATTGGGGGTGGGTCCCGTAGGTATGGGAGCACCCACGTGGTTGACCTTAGTGCCTCAGCCTTCGTTCCCTCCAGCGGGCAGATCGATGCAGGGAGGCTGGAGGCGGAAACAAGTGTTCAGCATAAATCACATTGTTGGCGCAGGTGACGTGTCTGGCCCAGGGCCCTGGGTAAACAGACTGTTATCAGGAGGACATTCCTTCCGGGGACTTAAAGGTTC